CCTTTGGGGTGGGGGCCTTTTTTCAACCCCTCCCTTCAAAAAGCGCCCCCCCCCCCAACTTCTTTCCCCCCCCCCCCCCGGTGTTTGCCATCGGGGTTTGGGTTTTCGTCGCTTGGCAACGACGTTGTAAAACAAGCCCCCCACTCGGTGTTTGCCATCGGGATTGGGTTTTCGTCGCTTGGCAACGACGTTGTAAAACAAGCCAATTCACTTCGTGAACTCGGCAACCAGGTTACCGTTTTTTATTTTACCTCGGTTTTTTTTTTGGCGGTAACCGTAATGGTGGTCGAGTAGATCATGTTGTGCGGGGTCGAGAAACCTCACTCCGCGCAACGGGGGATGATCGCACCACGTTGTGTTAAAATGGTCAAGCTTCCTCGAGGCAGTTACACAGTGCTTACAACTGTCTCTGGAAGTGAAAGCACCAGAAAATAAATTAAGTCATACGTAGCTGTCATCCGTACGCAAGGAAGTAAGCACAAGATGCCGAACACCCTTAGCAGGATGCAGCTCACCCTTCATGCGACTCGCCAAATACCTCACGGCGCTTCGCGCTTGGTGATGTGAGAGCCTGGTCCGGTGAGAACCCGGCGTGCTCCGTCCCGGCTTTGTAGGGATGCGAGGTCAATGGTCAAACGACTACGGCATGCACGACTATGAGTACACCCCCCCCCCCCCCCCCCAACCTCATTAATCGCTTGTTTTTCTGGTGCCATTCTCTGGTCCCTTCGTTCGTTGATATCACCTTTCTCTGCCAGGACAAGACCGGTTCGCTGTGGTCCCGGCTGTGGAGCGCGTTCGGCATGTCGCGCCTCAAGACAAGAACGATCTCTTCTACCAGCCTCCCGTCGGCGTCGAGCACCGACGAATCTCCAAACGATGACGATCTCGACCAAGAGAAGGAAAACAGCAGCAGCAGCAGTAGCAGCTACGACCCTAACCCCCCGAGAACTCTCACCACCCCGCCGTCGACAGCAGAAGAAGCGGCGCGGGGGGGGGGCTGCTGCGACGGACCGCTCAAGTGGAGAGGTGAGAAACGCCGCCGGAGACGCAACCGGCCCACCAGCATTTCCGGGTCCACGCCTCCAGGCGAACAAGGAGACAGCCGCGGGGGCAATACCACGTGCATTGGCGGTGGGACCCTGAGTGGGTGCGACGCCGTTTGCGAACGAGGACGGGACGATAACGGCAGTTGTGCGGCGAACCGGCTGTTCGGCCGAGTCGCCGCCGTCCACTGGGTCGACGGGGCTAACGCGGCGGTGGCGGGGTCGTTCCCGACCAACCTGCGCTCCCTGGCAAGGCTAGCCGCGCTCCCGAACCTCTCCATCCGCGTGCACGGGACGCCCTACCAGTGGTCGAGCCAGTACCGCCCCTGGCTCGCTTCCGAGGCGACGGCTTTCTTGGCTTCCGTTGAGGGCTTCCGAAGGGCCCTTCGTTCAAGGGAAGAAGGGTCCGCGTTCGCAACCAAGAGCTCGACGACGGCCAGCAGGATGAGCGGAGGGGGAGACGGCGGTGAGGTGGGGGTGTTCTCGACGGACGCTGCCGCCCGCGGGGGAGGTGATGGTCTCGCCGCCGGGGTGGTGGCGACAGAGTCGGAAGGGTCTGGGGGGGAGGGCTCTAAAGGAGGGGGTAGCCGTGTCGGAGGAGCGGCTTTTGACGTGAAGCGTCTGGTGTATTTTGAGAACGAGCAGCCGTCCTTGGAAAATCACTTCCGAGTGCTGGCGGACCTCAACACGGAGTGAAGAGGGTCGCTTGGTTATTCTGTAAATCCTGGCCTGGCTGTTGTCATAGTTGTGCGGCGAGTGTGCTTGAGCTGAACTCTCGGTTTGACTCTGCTCATGTTTGTGATGTTTCTCGTCTTGCCGCCATTTTCTTGGGCGGACTATTGCGCCGCACTGTTAGTTGGCTGTACGACCTGTGGTTCGGCTGTGTCGACTAGCCGCCCTTTACCCAGGCGGGGCGCTGTGCCGCACGCATTCATCCAAGCGCTTGAGCTGAGCAAGATGCTCCCGCCCGTTTCGGCTAGTGTTGTCCTTTGCCAACGTTGTTGCGTCGTAACGCCGTCCGTGTCCAGTACCACATATCATACTTTTTTAGAAGGCGTTCGAAGCGAGAATCACTTGCAGTAGGCATGTTCCACCCTGCCACCCTGTCGGGTGTTTTTTTTGTAGGTGGCCTGCGACTCTTGCGAGGTGCCGCTGAGCGCACGGTGTGGCCACCATGGCACCACGTGTTTTCGGGATGACGTTTCTCTACGACTTGGAACTTGACTTGGTTCAGCCTTCGGGCCACACTCGTATGTTCGATTGTTGCAGGATCTTTTGTGGTTTGAGGAGGCGTTTTCCCGAGATACAAAAACCTGCCAAGGTACGGTATGTAAATAGTACATGTGCTTGTCGTAAGATTTGCTTTTTTAGAGTCTTCGTTGCCTCGACATTGGACTTGCGAGTTTGAGGTTGGAATGTATTGAGGAGGGGTAGGGGTCATATCATGGTTGTGTGTGGGGTGTTCGATGTTTGTATCTATTTTGCATTCCCGTCCACATGACCGGGATTTACGATAGAAGTAGTAGAGAGGAAAGGGAAAACACGTGCTTTGGCACGGTCAAACAGAAGTGTTTTGTGTCCGTTTCAGCTGAATGCGGAGCACGTCGAAAGCGGCCAGTGCCGTATGGCACACAACCAATCATGCATTCATTTCATCTTTTTTTTCCGGATGAATCAGGAAGGGACGCGACCTACATAAATATGAAGCCACGCAAAGTAACAACGTTTTTACGTACGCAGAGTTAGGATGATGCCAGATGCCATATCGTTCGTGCCCGGTGAAGCACTCTCAGCTCATGGAGTTGCTTTAGATAAGTCCGCGACATGCCCGAGTGTACACACACGATATTGTTCTGTCTCCATTACCCCATTCCCCCCTTGGCGGAATGCACTCGTTGCTGTTGGTTACTGTTATCTACGAACACAGAACAGGGGGTGAACTCGGTGGGCGCGATTCAACCATCAGCAAGAATCACAGTAATACTTAAAATTTTCCGCCCAACGGTGTGACACGAAGTCTTTTGATCGACACAAGCGTGGGAGAAGACGTCAACCGGGAGTAACGTGCGACACAAAGCGACCCCGCAGAGAGCCCATATTCTCGAAAGCATTCATCAACTCGGTTTTTCGAGCCAACCTTCATCTCCCACGGAAGAAGCGTTCCACAAAAAAAGAGGCGTAGCCTTGATTTGATGCAACTGATCAGTCCGCACCAACGCAGTCCAACAACTGTCGTCTCTCGTTGCGAGACATCATGCAAGGGAAGTCTCGCCTCGCCCTGGGTTGATTGTTGGTTGCTTCCAGTCAAACGTGGTGATGCTTATCAAAACTGAGAGAGCTCTCTCTCTCGCCGAAAAGAGCACCGAAGACACAAGCACATGCGGTAGGCAATGTCTGTACCCAAACACGGGTATCAACAAACATTTCAGCACTCCAATCTACCAAAACACATGGTTGGCGATCTCATACTGCGTTGTAGTGCGTCACTCCTCCGCCCTTGTATTACACAAAACGCGAAAACAACAAAAAACAACGCATTACAAAACGTAGAACGCCATCAAGAGTTAAACCAACTTCAGCTCACGAGACGTGCACGGCCTCGATCATGTCCCCCCCGACAACTTTCATCTCCGACAACACCTCCACAACGTTCAGCACACTCATCGTCGCCACCTCACCCCCCCCGCGCGCCCCCTCGCCCCCGACAACCATCATGTGCTGCGAGCGGTTGACGTTGTTGGGCCGAGGGACGAAAGCGGTCGGCCGCCAAACGAGGCCAATGATGCCAGATGCTCCGGCCGAGCCGGGCGAGAAGAACACTGCCAGGTGGCCGAAGCGGCGGCGTAACTCCGACACGAGGTCACCGATCGGATCGAATCCGACCACCAGGGGACCGTGGGTCCCGTCTCCACCCTTTCCTCCTTTGCCGGCGTTCACCCCTGAAGGTACGGGAGTTTCGAAGCGATACAGCCCGGCAGATTAGGGTATGTAGAGACAACGGGGGGAGTTTGAGGGACAGGGAACAGCGGTAAGTGGTGGCGGTGGTGTGGCAGTGTTGCGCACGTTACAGAGAGTTTCGAGAGGCCAGATATTTTTCAAGGAAACAGAGTCTTCGCACTACAGCAAGTGTAGTCCATGTCCACCTTCCCTTCTTCTCTCCCTCAAGTGGTCGCCGTGTTAAAAGCTGGTTTAGCACTCTATAATAGTGTGCATGAAGACAACTCAATTGTGACGCTGACAAAGTACCTTCGGCTTGGACAAGCCAACGCGCCAACGCCAGTAAGTGAGGAAGAAAGAGCACAGAGGGGAGAAGAGGGAGTTCAGCGTCCCGTCACGGGAGACAGCACAGCTTCGCCTACAAAAACTCCCTACCGCCGTGATCGATGGTGTATACATAAACGTCCCTATTGGGGTCGAGTTTCAAAGCTCGATTGCTTAGAGAGACGAACCGTCGGGGTGCCGAAACAGCCGGCGTTGGAAATATTGCACTCACTAGTTTATCGAGCGAGAGAGAGGGAGAGAGAGAGAGAGCATTCAGAACACGCATCATTCGACATTGGCACCCTCAATCAGCCGCTGAGAAACCGACATTCAAAAATTGGCCCATGCGGGGATCTGATATCCACCGTCATCGATGGCGCTCCCTGCTCTCACCTCCTCCGATTAGGTTTTTGTAGGCCTTGGTCTGTAGGGCGGGGCAGCCCTTGACTCGACGGCGCTGGAAGGTCTCGCCGCCGCACAGCGAGGTAGGAGCCGTGTCCGACATGACGGCGGCGTTCAGCACCAACCTGACGTCAAACGTCTGCTGCTCCGCCGTCGCCATCCTGGCAGGAGGAGGGGTGGGTGGGTGGGTGAAGGGGGGTGCCTACGGTCAAGCCAAACAGCAGAACAACAAAGGGCGGATGCTGGCATCGAGCCGAGACAAGGGAGGGTTGCGCGGTCTTCCCTCGTAGATACTTCGTGCCGGCAAAAACGTCACTCACGTTGCCCCCCTTCCTCCCTGCCTGCCACCAGGCAACCCTCGCAGTGCTCTAAGCCATCGAAACGCCCATGTATTGCGTCCCTAAAACTGAAAATGAAAAAGCACAATAAAAAAAAAAACGCACACAATAATGTAGAACAATACCCAAGAAACAAAACACACAAACCCATTATTTTCTTGCTGACTTTTCACACCTAAATCTGCCTACAACCACGCACGACCGACAGGTGGGGGCAAAGAGCACGAGACCACGTCGTGTCCTGTGATGCCGTAAATACCCTCACCTGAAGGCGTCTTTCCAGCCACCGGGCCCGTTCCCCAGCGTCCCCTCCCCCGAGAGCCAGCCCACCAGAGACTCCGCCGATGCTTTAGCCAGAGCCACCAGTCGGCCGAGCACAGGCCGTTCGGGACGGGGCGAGGTCCAGGAAGACTCCCAGCCCAGGTCGCGGGCGTAGGGTGCGACCACGTACATGGCGCTTCCGCCTGCGGCGTCTGCAAAGAAGGGCAGGCGTTTTTTCCGGTCGAAGCAGGTGGTGGCTTCGTGGTTTTGGCGGTTGGGTCGGGTGCTGGCATTGTCTGCACAAGCATGCATGCCTGTTGGTTTCGTTACCAGTTCATTCCCACACCACGAGAATTGTCTGTTCCCTTCCTGCTTCCGCACGGCACCCACAGTAACGCGGTCAAACGGTCGGGATGCAACGGACTGCCGCAGGGGCGTACGTCCCGACTACGTACAACAAGATGGTGAGCGTCGCTAAATATCGGTCCTTCTCGCCCACCCATACCGGGGCCCACAACAAACCTGCCCGCTACGACACGCCGGTGCGTGGCACATGCCAAAGTCACCGTACCTGCCTCACGACTACTGCCGTACCTCTTGTCCTGCTCACCAACCAATCTGTCAAGACAAGCAGCACCAAAAACAGCAGCACTGCCAGGGCTTTCTGCTCCCCGCCCGCCGCACCAAGAAACACACACAAGGCAAAGCGCAAGGCTTCGTGGCCGACTCACCCCTGTCCCTCGATCGAGAAAACGCCTCCGTAGCAGCCGCCCTATCCGTTGAGCTCAGCTCCCCCTGCGGGTCGACCAGCAGCGGCGCAGTCGCCCAATCGTGTCCCGCGAGGAGCAGCAAGAAGCGGAGGAATCCCGCCATTCCGGTGGACGGGGGTGCCAGCGGCGCCTCGTCCGAAAAAAGGCTCGCCACAAGGAGCTCCACTGCCTCCACTCTGTGAGCAACATGAAAAAAAGGTGCGGCGGGGAGGGGGGGGTGATGAAGCAATGGTTTATTCTTCCGAGGCAAAGGCGGGATGGAAGGACCCCACAGCAGTAGTCGATGGCGAGAGCACGCGCTCTCGGTCGACAAGGATCTCTCGTTGGCTGCTGCACTGTGAAGCGTCCCACCAAAACCACCAAGCTCGTGTCTATTATAGTCCTTTCCGTCTTGTCGTATGTGCGTGCACGAACACATCGCGCCCATCAAACCTGCACCACTTGTCCCAAACTATCGAGAGGGTGGTGGCTCCGCTCCCATGTTTGTTTTTCGTTTTTTATACCACTGCCACGATCGCGCGATGTACCACCGATTGTGTCGCCAAGCCTACTGTAGTAGTAAAGTAGCGTATGCCCTCGGCCTACACGGGTTGTCGCTCGTCCGTGTCCACGAAATGGCCCCGACCCATCACCACATCTCACCGCAGGTGTTCCTCCATCATATGCTGCTCCAGCCAGCGCGAGGCCGCTCGGACGGTCAGGCCGAAGGCCGGCTTCTGCAGGTGCAGTCCGTGGATGGTGGAATGGTGAGGTGCGGCCAACAACACGGCCTCTTTCAAGGCTAGCCGCTCGGGGCCACTCGCCTGTAAATGTATGGTTGGAAAGGTGACAAGTCGCGTCGCATGAGACATCGCGTAGCAGCGAAAGGGGAGGGAAACGACAGGCGAGGAAACGTCAACGCCATGGTTCGCGAGGCCACCGGTCACGCTACCCCTTACTACCCAACAATACTATAATAACCGGCTCACCCAATGGTGCTATCATGGTGCTATACAAGCAAAATCGACCGGATTCTATCCTAACGGTAGCCGAAAGGACACGTCCTCACACGGCCGTAAGAGAGGTGGCTTCATTAGCCTCGATCGACCGTGCAAGCGCTTGTCAATTCTACCATAGTATCCGTATAACTCTTCAGACGACGTCTGTGGTGTCTTTTTCTTCCTTGCTTACCTTGTCCTTCCCTAGCAGCGAAAGCTCCCTCTCGCCGCCAATCCTGAGTCGGAAGCAGTAGCCGGCCGTGAGAACATCCATCGAACGCCTTCCCACCACGCACCTCAAGTTGTACTGAAACCGCCGCGAGTCAAGAGGCGGGAGGGGGGGGGGGGGGGCACGCAGATTCGAAAACAAGTAATACACGATGAGCAGCATGCAAGCGGGTTGATTGCTCTAATGCCTTTGGCTGGGCAATATTCTCCGTGTCAAAAACACAATGCGTCTTGCACACCTAACTGCGGAATGTCCACTTACCACCGACGACAAACAAGCCGCAGCTTATTTTTTCGCCCGGGGCCGTAGGAGATACTCGTAGATTCAATGAGCTCGGGAACCAGCCAACACTCATACTGCTGCACCCACCAACGCAGGAATAAACGGCCCGTCTTTGTCGCCCTTACCTTTTTCTCAAGACACTGCGCCAGCCGGATGAGAAACGCGGTCCCGGTACTACGCACGGCGTCCAGGTCATCGGGCCACTTGCTCGAGGTCTCCAACCGCACCAGTACCTCCATGGGCTCCACCTGGGCCGCAAAAGCAGAAAGAGAAAGAGAGGCATCAAACATCACCACGACGGTAGGCGCCATGACATGACATCACAAAGGGCGGGACAGCACAACAGACCAAAGTAAATACAAACGGCCATCACCCCGAGAGAGTGCTTGAGTCTCCACCGTTTGCAAATGACATCGCTCCACTTGATGAGGAGGCCCACATGAACCAATCCATCACATGACCAGGACGGCACGTGCCAACAATGGAAACAAATCCATGGGGGTGGGGGGGGGGGGGGATACCGAGCCACAAGTCGATACAAAAGCCAAGACTAGAACAGTGACCCCCGCACTCTCCCCCCAACCGGAACTTAAGGACAAGGATAGTAGGACACTCACAACAGTACAACGGTTTCGAGCACCCACAAGAAACGACCTGCAGACACAAGACTTCCCACCCCCCCCAACAAGGGATCTGCCGTAACCCCCTCGGCTACATAGCGCGCGGATGAGTGGGGTGTCTCCTGCGTGGTCTGACGAAACAAGACGGGGGTCTCGGGGCTGCTGTGTACCATACCTGGGAGGATATCTTGGAGGCCTTGGAAGGGAGGGGAGCGGGGGACTCCCCGTGGCTATTGGCCAGTGGGTGCGGCGCCGGGGGCAGGAGCGAGGTGTACCTCAACAGCGGAGATGCCGCCTGCAGGGCCTCCACCCTGAAAACAAACGGTACGAATTAATGCCGGGAGTGACCGTGTGTTGACGTACCTGGGGGGCGAGTCCACCATTGTCGCAAACACGCCAGGCATACGATACAGACCGCATACCACACACAAGCTGGAGATGAGGTGTCAAGATTGACTCCAACAATCTAGATCAGTAACCCCATCCTCTTACCAGTGATCAGCGTCTGGTGGCTTTCTCATCCTTCATTCAATGGACGTGGTGACACTCCCATCATGAATGAATATATGAATGTAAGGTATGTGCACTTACTTGAGCGGCATGCCCTCGGCAGCCTTAGCCCTCTCCTGCAGGAGCTGCAACGCCTTGATCGCGGACCGGGTAAGGTCGTCGTCCTCAGCCGAAACCGCCTGGCACATAACACACACACGTATACACGCGAACAACAAAGAACATTGTGACCCCAACTGATACCGTCAGAAATATACACACGACGACAAGTGTGCAGAGTGGCGCCAGAACAAATGGGAACAACACACCCGCACACGAGCACGCGTCCACGCATGGATATCAAAACAAGAAAATAATGTTTTTTCGGGACCGTTTGAACCATACGAGAGTGCGGCGAATCTTGTTCGGCGAATCTTGTTCATCGGTTGTGGTCACATCGGTGCCAAATCATACGTACGCCGTGCATCCACAGCAGTCGTGCAATCACAACAAGTCGTGGCATGCCTCGATCTTTCGAAGCACCACACCCATCAGTAAAGTGCTGATTTTCTTGTCCTTGTCCAAAAGGCAGCAGGCATGGCTTCGATAGCCAGGCACAGACGATGATGCCCGGCGATCGACGTGCCACACGAGCTATAAAAGTTAATCTTTGTTTAACTTCGCAGTCGCTCTCTCTCTCTCTCATTGCTGCTGTTTGTTGTTGCGAGTTTAGAGACGCGCCTTGCTATGTGTTGCAGCCGCGTTGCTGCCGCCGTTGACATCGTGAGCTACAGCAGTAGAGGCACTCCTTGATACCACGTTTCACAGCAGTCAGTCACTCTGTTGCTGTTTGCTGCTGTTCTTGTTGTTCCCCATCGCACCCATCATACCTCAGAACCGCCGACGGTCACCAAGCCCAACAGCTCGTTCCCCCTGAACCGAACGGCATGGCCATCACGACGCTGCTTCTGCTTGGCGGAAGAAGAGTCGGCACACCTCAGAGGATCGTGGCGTCCTAGCACATGCCGCACCACCTGCTCACGTGGCGAAAGACGAGCAGAGAGAGTATCGGGCGAGCGTTAAAGCACAATACAACAATGTGTGTGTGTTCCTCCCATCTACTAAATGGCGCCAGTCTACACACCTACATTTGGGAACAATATGTTAGACGTATCAGCCGGGGCCACTACCGGACGAAAAACCGCTGGCCTGTGCATGCAAGGTAAGACTTTTATGGACTAGTTGGACACAGTTTTTATCAGGGTGGTATGATATGGCACGTTCAAGCGCTATGACAGAGACTGCACAGCTATGCCTAGAAACAGACCACATGCCATATGTACAAGTATCGAAGCAACACCTACCACACTGCACGCCTTCTGTAGGTAGCAAGGAAACAGATTCCACCTGTTTTTGCATACCTGCGCGTTCATTCGTAAACGTTAGGCTGAGCCCCACCTAAACCTCCACTACAAAGACCCAACACATGTCAGGAGGTGCAGTCCATGTTCGGTGAGCGTTTACTTGTTCCTCCCTAAATCGACGACCGCCTAGAGAAAAAACGCAAGTCACTCTGGGAGGAAAAAAAAAAAAAAAACGATACCAGACCCTACAGTTGAATGTAGATACCTGCTCGATGACGCGATGTCTCTGAGCCCCCTTCCCCTTCCACACCACCGCCTCCACGATGCTCCCATCCTTAAACCTGCACAGCGCAACAGCACCAACAGCACCAACAGCAAGAGGCAAGAGAGGGAGCACGAACGAAAAAACGACACCGATCGAACGACGACAAGTCAGCGAGCGTCCACGCCACATCAGGGTTTGTGGAGTAAATACTCTGCACGGAGAAACGGATGCAAGGAACCGAACAAACATCAGGACAGGGCAGCATGTGGGTAATGGCTAGCATGTCGGTGGCAAGGTGTGGCTGACAGCAGTTGGGGACTTTGCGTAGATGCAAGATCGAACGCAATCGCTCACAATTTCACATACCACGAAAAAATGCGAGGCCAACACGACCGGAATGAATGCATACCACGGTAGACTATACGAGTAGCCCGGGGCAGTGATGCGGTATCCCACAACAAACCTCTCCGCTCATATGCTTCCGCCCCGCCCCTTGGGCATGACATCATCTCTAACAACCGTGTTTCTCATCTCCAGCGTTCACACGTAAGAACACGTCCGCCAAGGGTAACAACATGACACCTCACCAAGCACACGAAGACAAAAATTAAATGTAGCCTTACGTGGCGACAAATCCTCGTCCCCTCACTCCAAAGACTTGGAACGCATCCCCTTGGACTGTGGTCTTTTCTCAAACGGGTATTCTTTCTGTGATTGTATACATATTTTCTGAAACCCTCCAAGACACACGAAATAAATTGATCCACCGCCGACGCCAAAAACGAAAAGGCCGCGCCCCCCAGCTCACCTCCTGAGCTCGCTCTTGCCTCCCCAAAAGTCGCGGAACTTCCTCGCTGCAGGGCCATCTTCTGCTGGTGGACCCTTGTCGACCAGTCGCCCGGCAAACGTAGGGTTGACGATTAGACCCACCGTCAACAGGGGGGGGTTCTTTCTCTTACCCTCTCCCGACCCGCCTCCAACACTCGCCGGGGGGGGGTTGTGTGGGTGCCATCCCCGCGGGCCCGGTATACCTTCGGGGGGAAACGAAAAGGTCGGAGCGGGCGAGCTGGTCATGCCGTGGGGGTATTGTTGTTGTTGTTGTTGTCTTCACGTTAAGAACCGTTCCGTTCTCTGCTCAGTACCTCTACAACATCTGTAACGGTCCAACTGACGTGAACAAAGGAAGGCTGCCTGCCACAGCAAAGACAGCTGCACTCTGCTGCTCGAACTACGGAGCGCCTATTGTGTGGTTCAGCAGCAACGGCGCACGTGTGATGACAGTCCAGCTGGCTGAGCTGTCCGAAGCAAGACAAAGACCACAAGAAATGAGCACGCGATAGGCTCAAGGTGATCACCAGTTAACCCTCGCAAAACACAACACTTCATCTACAACCCACCCACACGCTCACCCACCCGCGAAAAAAATTGCCCCCCAAAAAGCACGACACACGGAACAACGAGGAGCCGGAACTTGAAAGACGATGACGACGCCAAAAGAAGAACACAGTATATGTGGTCTGTTTTCTCACCTTGAAAGTCGTGAGCCGCTTCCCCAGCCACCCCGCACAGGGGCCTCGCCAACACGCACCGGTCCCCGAGCCCCTCCCTCAAGATACCCGTAACCCTGTCGGACACGTGGCGCCACAGCGGCCTGTCGAGCAAACCCTCTTCTTCCTCCCCTCTTAGCTTCTCCATGTCGGTGCCTGTGGCCGCTGCCTCCTTCCATCGCTTCCCGTTGTCGGCATCGGCTGAGACAAGCGGAACCTGGACGGTTCATTCGATTCGGTATGCACGAGAGAGGGTGAGAACTTTTGTCATGGCCTCTAGCATGGACTAAGCAGGGACTTGGGGGGGGGGGGGCGACACCAAGGGCATGCGTTGCCATGGAAAATAATGACATGGCGGAGGAGCGGGAGCTAGCAACAACGAGTGTACATGGTGTTTACGTACAGGAACGCGAGACGAACCGATCGCAAAAAAACACACGCCACCCTAAAATACAACGACGCACAAAAGGGGGCACACGTTTCGAGACTAGTCTATTGCTTGAATAGCAAGTCGTATATACCATTTTGGTGATGGGTCCTGTCATACAAGTGATGCGGACGGTTGTTGACGATGGAGGCGGTGGTGATGGTAGTGGTGACACACGATAAACGCCGACGATTGTCCGATGAAATAAAACCCTCATCACTCGTGCCAAGTGGCGGGAGGACAACAAAGTGACTTCAGTTCAACAACAACGAGTGCCCCCGATCATACACCAGCTACAGCTGTGCACAGCAGAATGTTGCGATAGTTCAAAAGAATTGGCCCTCCGCACGCTCCACTACAGAGGACATCGCCAAGACAACGCCTGTCTCTGTATCTGTCTCTGTACGTGCCTCTATCTCTCTCTCTCTCTCTCTCTCTCTCTCTCTCTCTCTGTGTGTGTGTGTCGGTCTGTCTGTCTGTCTCTGTCTCTCTTGTTGGCTCACCTGCACAAACGCGTCACACTTCCTCCACAGGGTGGTGCGCGTCATCAGAAGCCGCCGGAACGCGGCCCCCGGTCTGCCCTGGAGCACCGCAATCGACGCCTTGGCGGTCATCTCCAACTCCGCAACAGCGGACGAGCTCAACCGCGCTGCAAATGCAAAGGAGGCGTTTTTTCGTGAGAAACGAGGGTGGGGGATGGGGGACGGGACGGGGGCGTCCTCATGTTCTCGCATGCCTTAGTTGTTAGACCATTGACCACGCTTCCTCGAGAGGATGGGTGGGGGGGTCGGGGTCGGTTTGATGTGAAAAGAGACGACGAAAAGCATCAGATCAAAAACAGAACGCTACACACCATCGGTGCACGAGACACGGCCACACCGCGGAGACCAACAAAAAAAAAGGCGTGTGCATCGCGCGTGAGTGAACATGCGCTTCGACAGCAGTTACGGAGTTGAAGAGTCAACCGGAACAAGGAGTCGTGGAACGTCTTAAAAAGTACTTGCAAGCAAGTCGGGGTCACGTGCACAAGCAGCCCCAGTGGTATCCAACACAACACACAATACACCACAAACAGCGTCTTCGAGTGTATTGCATGCGCAGCACTGACCTCCCCCACATGTGCGCTGCTCGCCCAACACAAGAACGCAACGACTACAGCGATACGTGCCGGCATCAACCAAGCCTCTCGACACCGACAACGACACAGGGGTGCTGGCCGCTTCCACGCACCGAGCACGTTGAAGCCAAGCGAGGTGTCGACCATGACGGCAGCAAAGGCGTCCTTGAAAGTCTTCTCTTCCTCCAGAGTCAATCCTCGTCTTTGCGATTGCTCGTCGGGTCCGCCGGTCGACACGTCCACCGTGAGACACTTGCTGCCAACAAAGGCAACGGCAAGGGCATGACAAGGAACACACGATGAGGCGTGATGATCCGCGGCGAAGGGGAGTGTACTCAAGAGAACGCATTGGGTGGGGGACACAAACTAGAGCTTGTCGCATTTTCTGAGACATTAAAGGACGGGTTTATCGATTATTTGTCCCACAAAATGGGTCAGATCGGCATTGGTGTGGTCAACAGAGAAACATACGCCGCCGGACACACCACCACACAGCCGCATCACGGGTCAGCCCCCACGCTCTGTCTCTCCGTTATCCTAATTCCCCCCAACAATAACGGTAAGGTAGGAAAACACTTGTGTGTTGTCGAACATCGCCCCCTAAGAGGCGTGTTTTGGGTGCAATGTGCGCCGACAGCCACAAACATCAAGTAGGCGTGTTGCACAGCAGCATCGTATCGCCGTGTCTGTCGTGCTATCGCTCTTGCGTGTCTGCTCTCGTCTGACCTTGACAGCTCGCCGTCAGCGATGAACTTGAGCACCACCTGAAACATGCTCAAGGCGGCCATCCGCGCGTTTACTCTCCTTGTCTGTGAGAGGTGCAGCAGCAACATGGACCACTCGTAGCTGCCCATGGAGTCGTGGGACGTCCTCATGCCGTGCTGGCCGAGCCACACCTGTTCGTTCGCCAAAGGGACGGATCTGGTGAACCACAGCAAATACGGGAACGGCCCATTGTACCACAGCTCAAACACCATCACCTCCAATGCGGCATGGGCTCGCCGGCACCAAGGGGAGAAAGGACACAATCCATGCACGCATTCCACTGCAACAGCGGGGTTTGTGATTGTGGGAAATGGTCCAAGAAAAACCTACCCGTCGTCAAAAACAAATTGGGAAAGTCAGTCGAAACCTATTCATGAAAAACAGTGTCAGGCACCCCTTTTCGCCACCTGCCTGGACAGAACGAGAAACTGCCGTAAGCAAATCGTACGTAGAGTAGAGTAGAGTGGTAGGTCAGGTTCAGCGGCTCCTAAGATGTAGTAGTACCAGGAGGAGATATGGTCGCTGTTCAGGGCAGGTCGTTACTGCCGGCATAGGGACTACTAGTCGGGGTGCAGTGGTGCCACACTTTTCTCTGGTCGCCATACAGGGCAGGTCGTTAAACAGGGGGTCACTAAACCACCTCCCCCACCACTACTGTTGTATTGGAATGTGTAGAGTGGTGCAGCGTAGTGTAGTGGTGATCTCTACCTTTCCGAGGATAATGGCATCGCGAAACGCCTCAGAGTCCCCGCAGATGCCGTGCAGGGCGGCGAGGTGCTCCGTCATGCACATGTCCTCCAGGATGGCGCTGTTGTAGTGCGGCGTCGCAGACAGGGACGACACCAGCTCTTCCCCCCCCCCGCCTCCTACTGCGTCTCCGCCTTCCATGCTCGCGAGTTCTGCGAGTGCCGCCCTGCAAGCACACAGGCAGCGTCGGCGACAGACGGAAAGATAATTGCTGTGTCACGATCACAGCTTTGAGGCCGCCGTCTACGGAACGGAGTCCGCACGCTTTTCAGGACCCGCGTGAAACCATCGCCAACACAAAACGAAAAAAAAAAAAAAAACACCTTGTTGAATTTGGATGCCAACACGATGTTGCGCCTGCCCGTGTTCTGCTCGATGCAACACGACCTGCTTGCATCCCCAACCAACACCCCCCCCCTGGAGTCAGGAAGCACACAAGAACCAATTTTTTTTCGAGGGCGTGAACGTACACACAAAACACCCTACACACGTGCTGCAAGACACCCACATACGCTTCTGCAGAGCAAAATTATCTGACCTGGTCCTGACGTTGTTCCTCCCGGGAGCAAGCCTAGCGGGCACCATGGCGTTCCGCGCGCAGCACGGCAACAGCCGGACCACAAACCCCGTGCCCGGCTTGACCTTTAGCTTGACCCTGCTCTTACTGCCCTTCTTCGACACGCTCAGAGAAGGGTACAGCAGCACAACCGGCTTCCTAGGGTCTCCCTTCAAGTACGACAGCTGCGTCGCAAGTCAGCAACACGAGAGTACCAAAGGGGGGGTGGTCGACTTCAGAGGAGAGAGACAGGGGGTCGTGGCCATTACAACTTAAGAGTTAGGCGGCCCACGACGTGTTTTGCGGAGGCACGGGAGCAAAGATCAAGAATTCGAAAGCTGCAAAGTCGACAACACTTTGGGCGCGTTCCGCATGAATTGATTGGTCGAAGCCTGGCTGTGCTCTCTGGCCAGGATAGCTCCAGGCCCGACGGCAAGTGTCCCGAAGCAGCAAGACAAAACGCACGGTCACGGCCGCGCGCAGAGCTCGAAGCTAAGTAGAGCTGTCGGTATTCCCATTCCTCTCGATCCCAATAGAAACAATGTGGTATCATCGTCGTAGAACAGCTCGTAAAATTCCTCTCGCCCTCGCCTACGTCCTCATGCTGTACCTCCACTTTGTCGACTAGCTTGCCCAACGACCCCGCAGCGTCCATCGCCGTCTTCGCAACGTGTCCTGCGTAAAGAGCCCTCTTGTCCAAGTACCGGTGGTTCAGCGAGTCTCTCGACACGATGCACTCCGAAGGCATGCGCAGAGCTAGGTCGACGTTTAAGCTCGGCTTGGCCAGAGAACGGAGCAAGAAACTCCCGGCGACGTCGAAGCCATCCGCCTGCAAGGTACCATGTCACGCCACGCCATGGCAAGTCGTCGTCGTGGTCGCGGAATGTACAATGTCAACGTTATTACCGACCGGCAAAAGGGGGGTGGTATCGGTTGTGTAGTTCTGAAAACTGTGCGTCTGCCGAGTCAGGAAACGACACAAGCAAACGGGCTGCGGGCAAGTGTGTCCATCACGAGATACAGCTATCTGCGTGTCTTGACCGCAAACATTGAGAAAATACAACCTTGGAAACTGTATGAGTAGCATCCTAAACCCTAACCCTTATTTGCTACCCAACTGTTGCACAGAAATGTAACCTACTAAATAAACAACACGTTGGCATGAATCACCTCGGGGGGCTGGAATTCCAGCGATACGGGCTTTCCAGGGACGTGGTTGGCGAGCCGAATGCCCGCCAGCCTTAGCGATTCCTCCGTCACCGTGGCAGGTGGTAGGTCTTCCAGAGTGTCCTTCAGCACGTGGAGCCATTTCTGGCGTTTCGCGAAGCAAGAGCAGGCATAGATCAAAAATTGGGTGTACGCAATGCCGGGAGAAACAACACACACACACGCTTTCTTTCTATGATGCGGAGAATAGGTTAGTCTCCATGCCGCCCCCTCACTGGGTCCCAGTTAATGGCATTTAGAAGTGTTCTTGGTTTTCACCCGCACTGAGACTCACGTCTTTTCATTGGTCAGCCGGTTAGCGCGTTCGATGCTAATAATTAAACACACACACACGCACCCGTACGCGTTCTTCTATAGCAATCGCTGCTTGGCAAATAGACCCCATACACGGGCTGGGGCAAACAAGCAGCACGACGCGGGGATGTTTGTCCCGACATCAGCAACTCAGTCCACAGCCTCTGGACGACGACCGCACGGAAGGCGAACAAGCACTTCTGTTGTGCGACATACTACAACCCAATCGCCTCCCTCACCTCCAACGCCTTGACGCTCTTCTTGCCGTGATCCAGCCTGACCTCTCCCAGCAGCTCCTCCACCTCCAGCCTCAAGAGGTTGCCCTCGAACAGCTTCCCCTCTGTCTCCCTCAACAGGGACGCCTCCTCCATGGTGGGGATCGCGTACTTGGCGTCCCGCGCCCTCTTCTGCGGGGGTGCCCCATCGCCTTCGCCGCCGTCAGCGTCGCCCCCACGTCTGCCGTTGCCTGCGGTGCCGTGCTCCTCGTCTGTTCCACAAGGCAACGTTGGACGCAAATGATTGATTGGTTCAGAATGGCAGCGCCGTGACAAGGCGCAGGGACGATCGCGGTTGTTCTCGCAGCAGAGGACCGACAATATTTACATTTCCACGTCCGTATGATAGTAGACGGGAGAGCAAAACGTCGATTCAGTGGCATCAGTGCCCAGGCTCTGAGGAAGGTGCACCGGTGGGCAGAGGTTGCGCTCGTCCTCCGCATGCCAGAGCGAGGATGGCGCTACCTGGCGGTGTGCTTGATCGCCGCGCCAATACACGGGATTTCAAGCTGTGTCCGCCCGGACACGGCGAGGCTGTGAAATGTTGGTGTTTCCCTCACGCATAACTGCTGCACTACACACAAACGCTACACCATTGCCGGTTTAATGCCCACATCGTCATAACTTAGGCGACATCCGAAACCACAGCGCCTCTACGTTTGGCTGTACTGCTGCTCTCCCTCTCTCCCTCCGCCCCAACGATGAGGATGGTGATGGAGACGGCGGCTCTGGGCCGCGAAAAAAAGAGCCGGTGTCGACAATAGGCAGCAACCGCAGCGAGTCCCGCCCACAACACACAACGACATTGCTCGCCACCCACAACAATTTCGTAGCTTACAGCTTAGCGTGGAGCTGTTGTGGTACCTTCGTCTCCGAAATCACGTCCTTCTCCTCCGTCCCAGGAAGCGGTGTCGTCGCCATCGACCCCTCTACCACCCGACGACATCATGTCATCGTCATCGCTCTGCGTTCCGCTGCCCATCTGTTCAATAGCAGCCGCATCCATGTTTATGTCCACGCCCGTAGCCGCCGCCGCTGCAACAAGACGGCAGGTTGTTCCACGTACTCTAAGGGTTATCCTCGATGATACCCGCAGGCTGCAAGCAAGGCACAGAGTGGGGAGCGTTCACAGCAAGTCTGCGCACGCACAGAGACAGAGAGCGAGGGGGCACACAGACGAGATATATTAGGTACCACATGCTAGGCGTGGGGTAGGACCCCGTGCACTTGCTGCTACTGGCTGTTTCGGGAGCATCAGTAGGTCGTACTCTGTCTGTCCAGAGCACACAGCAGCAGTCATAGCTGGGCGAAAGAGGCACGATTTTGTACGGCGGGGGTCAGGAGGCTGCAGTGGTAGGGGACTGCAGTGCGCCGGGTACCACATCTCGCCCCCCGAGAGCGTGTCGGTGATCGGCTCCCCTCGAAAGAGCCTGCTCCTGGCAAGCTGCGACGTGATCGATGCCGCTGGACACGGAGCTCCATAAGTCTGCCCACAAAGGTAAGCGCTTGATGAACGTACCCAATAGTGATGGGCATAATGCTGTGCCCTGTGCGCATTCACCACTCGCTACGGCCACCTCTTTGACATGGAAACGCTCGGCGCGCGAGCAAGACGTAGTCGTGGCCTGTATATGGTATGAAATTTTGTACCACCGCTGGACATTTTCGTCTTCCGAACGTGTTCAAGTGTGGTGGCCGAGACTTGTTCTGATACCACACGACCACCATCCATTGACGTCTCCACCCGCACGAGTACGTGGCATCTTCCGGAGAGGTGGATTCAGTACACCTCGCACCCAACGGAGAATGTTCAACCTCTGTGGGAGAAACGGGGAGACCCTATCTACACACACACACACACATACACACCGAGACAAAGAAATACGGGAAATTCTGGCTCTTGGCCCCGACACAGCGAGCCTATGTCGTCTCCGATTGAATCATTTCGGGTATACATGTGCGCACGGGCCAAATATCGTCTCCCGCGAACGCGCATCAGGCGAGGTGCCTACATGCGTTGGCGCGAAACACGAAAGAGGTAACGGTGGGTATTACTTAGCCCCCTGCGACAACCTAACCACTCATAACCATGTGCTCTTATTTATGTCCTGCTTATTTGTTCATTTATTCCTTGATCGAGCGAGCTCTTCGTTGGTCCGTAAGCGTGGCTGTTTGTTGTTTGCTACTCCGTGGTGGTACATTAAGGAATAATAAAAACACACACAGAAAGACTTCCCATTCGAGATATACCCACAGCAGTCGAACGGGATGTGGTGGAGTCTTTTCAGTGAGTGGAGGGAAACCGGCTGGGTACTGGACTTATTTCGAGTCTTTTGAAGTCTATACACTGATGATTTATACCAGTGATGCCAGCTGGTGCTAAGTACAAAAACATCTGTATAGGTATCTTACATTTTACAATACATCCCCTGTAGTTCTCTACTGGGTCAACGACAAAATATCGGGGAGAATCCCTCCGTCATGTCGTGTATTGTAAAATGGAACCTTCACAGGGGACACGGCGCAGTGTCTATTGACAGCTTGCTGGTTTGTTAAACATATTAGGAACAATATTGTAAAAATCATGGAAGGTGGAACGAAGTCTACAGCAGTACATCACCAGCCCTACATCACTCGTTTTTCAAATCTACAGATTTTTTAATTTGACGGACAGCAGGTGTTTCCCGCCGTTTTTTTAAATTTGCAAATTGTTGGTACATATTACTGCTGCCAATAGTTGTTTGGTCATTTGCCCTCCGAGAGATGAGGGACGCTGCTGTTGCATCAGCAGCGGGCGCTGCGCGCACCACCCGCGCGGCACAGAGCCAATTGCAGCAGAAGATGCGTTCATACGTCGGTATTGCGTGTTTTTTGCCTAGAGAGCAAGCTTTACGCCAAGGGCGACGATGAATGCCAACCTATGCTATCAACCGTGGGTGTTTTTCCGGAACTGACGAAAGTCACCGCTTGTCGATGACGTGATTTCCAAACATTCGAGCCCACGGATTATTTATCCACTGAAAAGACTCCACCACATCCCGTTCGACTGCTGTGGGGAAATAAATCTCGAATGGGTAGTCTTTCTGTGTGTGTATTTATTATTCCTTAATTTACTGGACGGGGAGGAATGATATGCACATGTGCACGACCCAAGATGATGCCAGTGCATGAACAACAAGGAAACAGCATGTTCTAGATTCCGGATTCCATAGATCCAGAAGGAGGACGGTGTCCTCAAAGCCAGTGGCTGCTATGCGCACATAGGCATCTGTATTAAGGAATAATAAATACACACAAATGTGGGTATATCTCGAATGGGTAGTCATTAAGGAATAATAAAAACACACACAGAAAGAGTTCCCATTCGAGATATACCCACAGCAGTCGAACGGGATGTGGTGGAGTCTTTTCAGTGAGTGGAGTCTTCCGGCTGGGTACTGGACTTATTTCGAGTCTTTTAAGTCTATACACTGATGATTTATACCTGTTGGAATATCTTGGTACCTCTTGGTACCTTGCTTGGATCCTGGTATCTACTGCTGTATGCATACGTAAATTCCTGTTTCATGTTGTTTCAGTTTCGCAAGAATTTAGAATTTACCAGAATTTTGTAGGAAAGCGGCGACCATGTGCTTCCGATTTTATTTTTCAACAAAACCGCAACTAACAATATATCCAATATATGGGTGTGTTCATTTATTTAATTGGTTTTAGGTTTGGGGAGTACATATATAATGTATGGGGTGTTTGATTTTATTGTTCATGGGTTTGGGGATTACATATAAAAAGCAGTGAAGTCTGCCAGTATCCGGCAGCACGGTGTTGATTCATGGCCCCAAAGTTGCTGACAGAAAAGCAACTTTTTGCCAAATGCGAACAAGCCCAAATGTGCGAAATATCGCGAAACTTCGAAAGTTAATATTTGCTGCGGCTGTAGTACGAGAAGGGCAGCAAACGACCGCTCGGCATCTGGTTGGTCAGGGTTTCCTGCTGAAATGTTCGTGCGGCGCATTCGGCGCGTGTTAGAATATACCGTATGAGTCGGAGAGTTGTCACGGGCCGGAGAGATGGCACCGGTCGGAGAGACGGCACCGGGGCGCGAAACCCCCCCCGAGAAGAAACATTTAATTCGATTCACGCACCGGGGTCGGTGAGATCGCACCCGGTGTGATCTCTCCGACCCCCAAATCCAAGATTGAACTCCTTTTCAGCTGCCGGAATTAGATACTCGTGCGTACCTTTTTTCACGTGGGGACGGAGTCAGTGGAGCGCCACTCCTTTACGTACGATTGGATGGTCGCGGTTCACGCGGGATGCCAGTTGTTTTCATTTTTTTTTGGTATGGAAGTTGCCAACCGTACACTCAACCAAGTAGACAACGTACAAGCCGCACCCTACCCCACCTTACACAACCCGAAGCTATTGTACTTCTGCGTACGTACTGGTATCCGTAGAAGAAGACCGAATCGAAAGCGGGAACGAATTGATACCGTGTGTACTGGTACGAACTCAGATGCGCTATTTCGCCGCTTTTCTCGGGGTATTTTGTATTTTGTATGTGTATTTCGCCGCCTTTTTACGGGCTCATATACATGCGCGTGTGTGCAGAAGACTGTGTGCGTGCGTGGGTACCTGCACTGGTACCAATCAATACTGTGGCAACGGTCGGGGAGATGGCACCGGGGTGCGTGCATACAACACCTGTGTGCATTTCATCGGGGATCGCACCAGTCGGAGAGATCACACCGGGGTGCAACACCTTCTTGACGATGACATGACCGGACCCGAGGCTGACGCACATACTCACGCACATTGTTGTTGTTGTTGTTGTCTTCACATTAATGCCCGATGATTTCCTCCAAGACGTGTTGTGTAGAGAGTAGAGGGGGTTAAGACTGATTGAGCGGGGATCATATCCTAGTGCTGCGAGAAAGAGACTGAGAAGAAAGACTCTCTCGATTCAGTATATGTATAACTGCCGCGGACGCGCTATAAATAACTCGAGAAAGCTGCGTGCTCAACGCAAGGACGTACCAGAAAACAGCGCGCAAGCTCGGAGGGGTGAGGCGTGGTAGGTAGAGCGACGGGTCGACGGACGTCTAATATTTGAGAGGAACGGCCCTCACCGCCAGAAGTGCAAGAAAGTGTGCCCGGCATCCGCTCGTAAAGTGATGGGCGCTGCAAGTTGACGGGATGAACACCGGCCAGAGGTTTCCTTGACATGGAAGATGTTGTGTATTTGTTGCCTTGCACCTCAATATATCCAAAACTCACGTAAATGTAGCACTTCAGAGTACAGGTCCAATACAACCACGGATGGCGAGGCCGTGTAGGTTTCGTGGAGATCGACATATCGACTTTTTTACGGGACCTGCGACAGATTTGCGTCTTTCGTAGCATCCAATGGAGCTTGTACGAAGGGGACTGAAGAAGGCGAATATTTTTGCCATCGTGGTGGTTTCCTCAGCTTGCCTTAGCAACTACAAGTATAAGTACATCAAAGGCAAAGGGTTACGACATCGCTCTATTGATAGAAAGATTTTATTTGCCTCGGATTTTTGCCCTGCTTGTTTGGGCGTTACAGCTCCTGACCCCCCCACTGGCGCAGGAAGCAATTGTCGTATCGAGCCAGCATCACCCCACGCCCCCCCCCCCCCCCCCCCCCGGGGGGGCCCCCCCCTCCCCACTTGGGGCCCGCCCCCCCGGCCCCAAGGGGGGGCCCCCCCCCCGTTTTTCCCCCCCCCCCCCCGGTTTTTGGCCCCGGCGGGTAAACGGTTTTTTTCAAGGGGGAAATCCCAGGGGGACGGGAACTTTGGGAAACCGGGGGGGGCCCCCCCCCCCCAAAAGGGGCCCCGGCCCAACCCCCCCCCCCCCGGGTTTTGGAAACTTTTCCCCCGGGGGGGACCACCCTTTGGCCGTTTTTGGGGGGATTCTCGGGCCCCCCCTTTCAAAAAAAAACGCGGGGGGGTGCCCAAATAAAAAAATC